GTGATAAAATTATTGAAATCGGTCCAAGGACCGCTCAGTTATTAACGTTCAAAATCTTTCATAATTTCGTTACTAGTTCCATTTTCGGTTTTCACAAAGTGTACTCCCATATAGAAATCACAGCCGTATTCTTACGTCAAAATACTGGTTTAACATTTTGCGAAAAGGAACAAAACTATATATTTTTTTTCGAAATTCTGAGAATCACTATATCGCTTCGCTAAGGAATGGCTGTATAACGAAACATGGACAAAATTTGAAGATCTTAATGAAGTAATGAACACTGTGGGAATGACACTGATGAAGACTGTACATTGTAGTCGAAATACGTTTCTGTCATGGACACCAAAATAAATTAAGTGGAATTAAATAGATGATAACATTTGTTTTGCTGTTTTATAATAAAGATCCTAACATGGGACAAATTTTAATACTTTTATTTTCATGATCCTTAGATGTATATCTTTACACTTAGAATCCATTTTTTTTTGGGATAAATGTCGGTTTCGGCAATGCGTTTACCTATTATCATCAGGAGTGTAAATGAAGTCGTATAGTGCTATTTTTTTTTTTGAAAAACGTTGTACTGGAACACGATGTACCTTCATGCAACAAATCAGCGCTCAAAGAGCTCATATACCCCCTGACAATAATAGGTTAAGAAGTGCCGAAGCCGCTCCCTCCCCTATGCCCTGTAATATTTTTTTGTCAATGGTAGATTAGTAAATAGTTGATGAATATTTAAAAAAAAATTCGACCTTATTTTAAGAAATAATTTTCCTATAACAAACTTTTAACGGAATCCTTCATGAAGAGCTTTTAGAGTGGATCAAGTAGTTTCTTTGAAAAAAGGAGTTTATTACGATGAGTGTTGAAAAAATCAAATTTTGCAACGAGATGCATAAAACATTTTTTGCGCTCAAAAGAGTGTCGACGGCATTTTTCAGTAGGCTCAGTAATAGTTATTTATGCAACAAATGGAAAAAGATGATTTTTGCAGCACGAATCGTAGTAGCTTCGTTGGATAACTACGACGAATGTTGACAATATTTAATTTTGCAACGAGTTGCATACAACATTATTTAATACTAAAAAGAGTGTCGAAAAGCAGAACTGTAACAAATTAAATAATAATAATAATAATGACAGTACCATTATCCAATTATTTTTAATTGGCACAGCTTAAGATATTGCTGCCGTCAAACTTTGATTAGGATCATTCGATATTTCGTAACTATACAATTGAGCTACAACTGTTTTCATATCGCGATTGTCAGCATTTTTATTCCCGGTGTTTAAAATGCTAATGTAACATATTTATGGTATATTTTACGATTTTAGGTAGCCGCTGGCCTACCCAAGTAAGAATATCGAAGTAGGCCGTGCTGGGGAAATGACGCGGTTTTGGTTTGCTGTGTCGTTTTCGTTGTTGTGAAAATGTTTGAAATGTACAATTTAGTTTTCAAAAAGTGTTGATTTGAAAATACAGAAGTGATGTTGTAAAGTGTTTTAAGTGAAAATTACCAAATTTGTCTCCGGTTGCACGTGGTGCCGTATGTTCTATCTATCGCGTAACAATGCTCAGCTAAGTTTATTTGCCTTTTCGTCCTTCTATAGGATTTATGCATCTAAATTGAACGGATCATTTTAAAATTACTAAATACACAGCAATCAAGTATTGCAATCAGTGTTCGTAGACAAAAATCAACAAGCAAAAAGCTGCGGTTGATTTTGCAAGCTGTGATATCGCAGATCGGAATATCAAGCTAACGAAACTCACCAGCTGCAAATCTCAACAAACTGTGGTGAGATTGAGTTTAATGATTTTTGCTTTAGACCCGAACGCAATCGAAACTTCCATAACGATCGGTGAACAGTAAAAAGAGATAGCATACTATTCTTTCTCTTTCTAAGAAAACGATGTGCAACGGAATGATTTTTGTGTCTAGTCAACTCTCCGCTTGATTTTTGCGCGTTGTGAATAGTCTTGCAATATCAAAGGAGCTTGTAAAATCAATATCAAGCATGATATTTTGTTCCAATATCACACGTGATATTGAGAGCGTATGAGAGCGGAAAAATATAATTTTATTTATGATTTTGCCAACACTGATTGCAATACTGCTTCATTGAAAGTTTTAGTACGTTATGAATGGTGTATATAAGCATCGATCAAGGGGTAAGTCACTCAGCACATTGTGCCGAAATTAGATTCGGCACAGCTTGGGCACATCCATCGGCACACTTTCGGCACAATCTCGTAGACATTGGATTGTTGTAAATAAAATGGGAGCACTGCTGTACAACTGTCATTGAAGTTGTTCACAACATTACGTCCTGTGTGACTGTACAGCTGTGTTCGCATGCCGATCTTCATACAAAATGGTCAACTTTGACATGATGTAACTTTGTTAAATTATGATCAATTGAGCTGAAACGTTCGCCAAAGCAAGACATTTTTGGAAGCACCTGCCGGAAAGTTAGACACCAGGTGAAAGTGTTCAAAATAATAGCAGTTTTTATTTGAAAATTTACGTGCTGCAAATATTTTAAACATTTTTAATTATTATGTACATACATTGTTAATTGGGTAAAATTTAAAATCTCAAAATTAAACTGAAATTAAAATTATTACTACTGCTATTATTTTGAACAATTTTACCTGGTGTCTCACTTTCCGGCAGATGCTTTCAAAAATTTAATATTTTGTGATATTATGAACATATTTGTAGTTCTTTGGCGAACGTTTCAGCTCAATTGATCATATGTTAACAAAGTTACATCATGTTAAAGTTGACCATTTTGTATGAAGATCGGCATGCGCTGCTATTTTATCGAACACGACTTTATATGCAGGAACATCCTCCAATTGAATATACCAGAGGAACTCAAACCAGTAGTTCACTTCTCGGTTCACTTATAGATCTAAATACGAAATGTAAGTGGGCTCAAGAGAAAGAGTTAGTTAACAAGTACCCTTAACTCAAATAATGCTGCAGCTCACACAAAACCAACTACAGAAGTCATATTCATCATCCTCTATAGTCCAATAGTCTCCAACAATGTTCCCCACCGGTTCCAACTCTTTCCGGCCGCTGATAGACCGTTGCTTTTTACATCACGAAAGGCTAGGTTTCTAGTCTGCCTTTGAGGGCATTATAAAACCCTAAAACACAGGACTTTTATTATACTATGAACACAAAACACCATAATTTTGCACACCCGCCACTTCCCGCGTCATCCTCAATCCGATTTATCCTTGCAGTTTCAAACCAAAACATTCAAGGTGTCAGAAATACCGGGTCGCAGCTTGCTCTTTGACCGGCATAGTCGGCACACCTGCGGCACACTTGCAGCACACTGACATAAAAGATGACCCAAGATTGGTGTGCGGCCCTTAGCATCGATAAATGTATTGGAGCGGGGCTTATCCACTCCGGTGACACAAAAGTCATCCAAGAACACTTAGCTTGAAGTCGATTTTTGTTGGCTCTTGAAAATGTTTCAAATGCGTGGTGTTTTCGATGTATTTTAGTGTTTTTTTCTATCGCTCTATGGAATTATAAGAAAGAAGTGCATGAAAGTAAATTCACGATGACTTTAAGAATCAATGACCGTGCTATCGATTGGACATACTCGGATGGTTGGATCTCATCGGCTAACCATGATGATGGCAATGTATGAACGAGACTTAAAATTATGCTGACATTAGCGCCACCACTATCCCTGGTGGCAGCTTCAAGCCAGAGGATTGGGCTTATCGTGTGCGAAAATAGCTTCGGAATGCTTGCGTTATTGAAATGGGCTGTTGAAGCTACGGTAGAGCTGTCCCCTTTTAACTCCCGGGGTCAAGCTTATTGTATTCATAAGAAATGATTGCAGGCACATTTTATCCATAATTCCACTGCCACACAGGGGAGTTAGGTTGTAAACACACACACCACTGAACTGTCAATTTTGTAATATAAGATAGATATACGACTAATATAACGTTCAGAAGCTCTATATTAATCTTATACAGCGGGCTTGACGGCTACTTTGGTGTGTTTCTGTTTCCTTGGATTTACGTTCGTTTACATTTTAATAACACACTATTTGCATTTTGTCGGTTGAATGGATATTCATTTCGCACATATAATAATTCACTGTTTACCAGGAGATTAATCCAAATTAAACCGTGTCTTTTTTTAACCAATCGTCGGTCGATGACGGCTCTGAAGTACAACACCACAACTCCACGTTGCGTCGAATCGTCTGTCTGTGTGCAAATCCGAATTTGCCCGTATTGTCATTTTTGGGCCGATTCCAATTTCAACGACAACAAACCAGAGTTCGCCAATCATTTCCCGCCCCGTCTTCTCGTTAAAGTACTAGATAGATTTATTTACCCTCTGAAAGACGCGCATAGTATATCCAATATTCGCTATCCGTTAGAGAAGATCAAATGCAAACAAGTCAAGAATTGTTTTTCCCCATGTACGAATTTTTAGATGATGAAAAGTTGAAGACACTGCTAAACGGTCACCACAACCAGTGAAAGTCATACAAACATCCTTTTTCCATTAATGAGCGTGAATTTGGATCTGGTGTGTGCACTTGAACCAACAGCGAAGAAAAACGTGGGTGGATGGGTGGTTGGTTGGTGGTTGTGTTCTCTACCTCCTGTGGGTAAACTTGAGTAAAACTGAGAACGCTAACCGGGTGGTAGTGCACGCATTTGTTCTCTCACTCGCACGCGCTTGTTAGTGTATTGGCGTGGCGTTTAGTAAGTACTGTTTGCTGCTGCTTCTGCCGCTGGTGCAAGGGATGATACTCGCACCTACTGGGAACGTAGTCAGTTCCATTCGAAGCTGCGTCGTAGCAAGACCCTTGAGATCACGGTTCCGCGATTTGCGTTAGAGTAAAAATTTTGATTCTATCGAGCAAGTGTTTGTACCGTTCGTTCTTTTGAGCCAAGTAGCTAATTAACGAGATTTGATTTTTCTCCGCACTCGTTACAGATCAGTACCGGATCGCATCAGCTCCAGTCGGTGACGGATTACGCGAAGCCAAACCAAGGCACTGCGCACTATCAGAGTACTTTGACAACGGTAACCACGACCGAACAGTTGCCGCCAGCGACGAGTGATCAGTTGGACTCTATGCTCGGAAATCTGCAAGCAGACATGAGCCGCCAGGGAGTGAACACCACCCAGAAGGGGTGCTGCAATGCTTGCGATAAACCCATCGTTGGGCAGGTTATAACCGCTCTCGGCAAAACCTGGCACCCGGAGCACTTTACCTGCAACCACTGTAACCAGGAGTTGGGCACCAGGAATTTCTTCGAGCGCGATGGCAACCCGTACTGCGAGTCGGACTATCACAATCTGTTCAGTCCACGTTGTGCCTACTGCAATGGACCGATTTTGGATGTAATGAGCTTGTTGGTTGAAGGTTTTTCCACTCGGAATGGAGGCGCTTGGTGGTTTGAAATTTTGTAAAACATCAAGCGCCCACCTTCAGTTAAGTGCATTCCATGGAAAAGTCTTCAATTGAACCTTAAACCGGACCAACCTCTCTTTTCGATGCGAAAAATTGAAAAATCCGTCGAAACGAGAGGTCACAAAAAATAACCGAAAAAAATCCGTATTCCTCTTCTTCCCCCGTTCCGTTCAAAAATAGAAATGCGTAACCGCGCTGGAAAAAACCTGGCACACGGAGCACTTTTTCTGCGCCCAGTGCGGTCAACAGTTCGGCGAGGACGGGTTCCACGAGCGTGACGGCAAACCGTACTGCCGCAACGACTACTTCGACATGTTCGCCCCGAAGTGCAACGGGTGCAATCGGGCCATCATGGAGAACTACATTTCGGCGCTGAACAGCCAGTGGCATCCGGATTGTTTCGTGTGCAGGGTGAGTATGATCTCTAATGAATGTTGTTCATCCATTTCGTTGCATCGATATAACAAACTGGGATGACACTGGATGCTGATTGCTTGATTTTTTTTTTAATTAGAGTCGTCTGAATGATATCACACGTTGCTGAGGTGCAAATTTGCTCAATGTCACAGTGGCTTATCCCAAATTTGAATACCTAATTTGATTTGCCTATTCAATTACACTAATGAGTGAGGTGGTTTATTTGTTAAAATAATAGTCAATTTGGGCAGAGTCTAAACGAAGTTAAATTTCAATGAAAAAATAACTCTAATAATTTTCCAGAGTGAGGTATGGTCCTTTGAGATATCTTGATTTTTATTTGTTTTCCATGTTTGAAAGCAAATTAGGGCAAAACTGATTCCTTTGTTTAATGATTAACTTTTTGTTGGTGTTGAAATCATTGTCGTGATAATTGTGATTGATTTAGGATGATGTCATAACATTTACCGTAACGCCCCGAAGACCGGACGGTTCGTTAATCGGGAGATTTAATTGTTTATAAAATATTACGTCTACGTTGCAACATAATAAATATGTGCGGCCATTTTGAACAATACTAAAGAAAATTAATGAAATATTTTGAGCATAGTAAGTATTTATAATCAACTTTTAAGCGCATTATAAGTTTTGGGTCTAGTGTCCGGATTTCAATATTTCATTTCCGTCCACGACGCTTCTAAATAAAAAAAAACTTTGCAAGAGTTTTAGAAAAAAAATTGTTTGTATATATTATCAACATATTGTGAGAACGAAAGATAAGAAGATTATTTTTTTTTTCTTATCTTACATTTAGCGCTCATATAATGTCCATAAAACAAAGTTATCATCAAATACCGATTGTTTAGTATACAGAACTAAATATTTTGACAAAATTTGCGCCCACCTATTTGAACTTTTACTGAGTTTATGATAGTATCTTTGGTGACCAATATAGTTTGTTTGCTATATTAGGCGTGCATACGGACTATGTTGGCTTACAAACTATATATTAGACTTATGACTATGATATCCAGACATTCTTACTTGCCAGTAATCAAATAGCAAGCCTGTTAGTTAGTTCAGCATACGACCCTGCCTATACAAATTTACTGAACTGGTATGCGACACTTGACTTGCTGAATTAAAAAAAAACACAATATTTTTTTTCACAGCCTATTTTTGGTACGAGAAATAAGTGCTGGGAACATTTTAAAGAAGCTTACTAAACTTACTTAAGCCGAAACTGGAGCTGCTCAGACAACTGGAAGCCGGATAACAATGAGAGATTGTAAATTTCAATCAAACGATCAATCGCATATTATTATGCAATTGATCGCATGAAGTTTAAATCCTGTTCCATCCATCCGTTCTGTTATTCATCAAAACAAAAGAAAGGAAAGTAACATGAATTTTCCCAATTTACCCAGCCTTGACGAAACTCTTCAGACTCACAGGAGGTCAGAAAATTCACTTCTCATGTGAGTTAAACAGTCATCATCCCGATCATTCCCTTAGCTCAGTCGGTAAAGGCGCAGCTACAAAGCAAGACCATGCTGAAGGTGGCTGGGTTCAATTCCCGGTCCGGTCTAGGAATTTTTCGGGTTGGAAAATTTCTCGACTTCCCTGGGCATAGAAGTATGATTGGACTTGCCACACAATTATACCAATGCAAAAATGGTAAGGCATCGAAAGCTCTCAATTAATAACTGTGGAAGTGCATCTAGAACACTAAGTTGATAGCACGCAATAAGCTAATATGCGGAGGAGGAGGATCCCGAGTGAGTGGTGGCTTAGATAAAGCATGAGGCAACAAAAACTCAGCAACAATTAGCGATAGGGAGCGAAATTAGACGTGAGAATGATTTGCTATCTTGTGAGGCTCTTCAGTGCACCGTGTGAGCAGATGAAAGAAAATCATGAAAATAAATATCAGTTAAGCTCAATTCCGTTTTCAACTCTTTCGCTTTCAAACTGTAATTTGAGACGGGAAATTCTACTCCCAAAAAAGGAAAAGTAATTTATATTTGGGGATCTCAAACATTATCCGTTTTTTTAAACAAATAGGGGAATTTACGTATTCTCGGCAACCTAAGCAGCGACCTTCTTTCTATAGCCTTTTTCTCTATGGAACGCACACATATGCAGTATTGGTTTGTTCACAATCTTTTGCTGCCAGCTGCTCTAACAATTTCAGTCGAAAGAATTGTCAAAAACTGTTTTGAAACGCTTTTACAAAGCTCCAATCTTCTCTAGTGAGAGCGAGTATTGTCGGCAACCAGTTTTTCTTCGGCAACCGTTCCATTTGAACTGCATGTAAATCTGCTGTTCTATTATCGGCAACTCGAAATCAGCCACAATTTGTAGTGCGTGTGTTTCATTTCAAGAAAACCCTGCTAGATTGCTTTTTTCTCAGTAGTAAAAATATAGTCAAATTGAAGCTGAAAGCATAAAGAATCGTTTGCATGCATTCAGCGAAGTGTTTTCGTAAGAAAATCCAGTGAAAATAGTGTTTCAATTTGGGTTGCCGAAAATAGTCTGTCATGCCGAAGCCGTCATTTCCCCTATTCAAATGTAAATGTATCGAACTTTTTAGATCGCTCATACAAACTAACACCACCATCACGTTGAGGAAACTTTATTCTACTTGATAGTGGTGTTAGTTTTCATAGGAGAGCTAAGAGTATTGAAAAATTCAAAAGTTAAGTTTCAAATAGTCGCATCTGCTTTTGGCGGCGATTTTGCATTATTTCAAACCACCTTTATGCTAAAAGAAATGTATTCCAAATTGATTTCCTGTATGTGCATTTACATTTCAGAGCTTAGAAATCTTTTATGTAACAGAGAATGAATGGACTTTTATTCTATTTTTACGCGATATTTTTGCTCCTCTATTTTTGATCGTATGATCTCAAATTAATAACAAATTAAATTAAACTTTTTGAAAAAATCACAGGAAAAATAATAGTATTAAAAATAAATTAAAATATTCATACAAGACGGGAAAATCGATATAATGAAAATTGGGTAAAATAAGAATTGAGTGTAGTAATTGCTATCCAATCTCACTAGCATCTTTGATTATTAAGGTAATGGAAATGAATGTATACAGGTTTACAGCTATTCCACTACAGACGCTACATGCTCAACAAACGAAATGCATTTCTTGCTAATTTTTTTGGTACATTGCAATTTTTCGCACACAACCTTCATTAAATAATTTTCTGCACGTAAACCAAAAATTGTATTACATTGAATGTAAGTTGCATTCCCTATCATCCTCTGCAGCAAATGATATAAGTTGACCTTGCAGACGATGTAATGATGTTTTATCTTTTTTTATCCGTGTTATATTTACACTTTCGACTCTGCAAGCAAGCATTTTATTTATAACTTTGTAGAACGACGCACTCACTTGCCACGATTCTCTCCAATTCCCGTTCAGCAGAAAAAACATACGAAATCGATTTATCGTACTATGAGCGCTTCTTATTCGCTTCTAGCATATCCATTTTCCGAAGCATAGAGAGAGTAGTGGAGAATGCATAGGTCGGATAATTGGAACGCTCGTGGTTCGAGTCCAGTTGGCAACCTTTTTTTTCGAATCAATTCATTTCACTCACAAATACACTCTATATATTCGGTCTGCATTTTCTTGGATTACTTCTTAAACTTTGCTAAGATTGATTTTACTCAATTATTTTATAAGCCTTCTGACGAACACATTTTAGAATTTGTACATGTCGTGATTCCTTGCTGCTTCGGTTTATACAAAACATACATTCCTTACATTCCTCGATTGGGTGAGCATTCACGCGGATGCTGAATTAGAGTTCTTAAAGTTTCTAATTTTTCGATAATTTCAAATAACTTCTAAACATAGGGTGCATGTTCACAGAAGCCTTTTATTAAGGAGAATTTATGTATTCTCGTCAATCTAAGCAGAGTCTGAGAGATAAGCGAGCTTGTTATGGCATATATACCAGTAATGGCATAATCCGCAATGGTAAGCCATGACTGCCAAAACTGAAATACATTTAAAGTAGTGCCATAACGGGTGCACTTGCCCTAGCTAAATATAAGTTGACAGTGTTAAACTGCAGTATAGTTTTCCTAAATTTCAATCGGCTATGTATTGGAATCGTTTGATTTGGGTAATTTGTCTTTCAAGTAACTCGTGTTGAAAGGAGCAATTATTGATAATTAATTAAAAATTACTGTACAAATTAGAGATGGGCAATTATGGATTGATCCGTTCAAAAGATCTGGATCCGTATGGAGAGTAAATGATCCACGGTTCAGTTTATATAAAAACCGGTTCATCAGCTCACCAGCATTTGATAACTTTTTCTCTATCCTTTAAATTTGTCGAACCTCTTAACGGAATCCCTTTATGAAGAGCTTTGTGTTGGTTGGTTTATTTCCTTTAAATTCCGTTATAATTGCTTATCTTTTGACAGATACGCGTATTTCGTCTACTACTTGCAGACTACTTTTTCTCTGTTTTCTGATCGAGAACATGAAGGTGTGAGAATGAGCTGTCAAAATGATTATTCATTATTCAGTGTAATCTCCACATTCAGGTCAGGATTGATCAGCATCGCATTCAGATCAGGGTAATTCTTATACAACAGCGAATATGACGCTGAACTAGATATTCCGTTTAAATCAAGAGGATGAAAGGGACAAATAGTTTCCCATTGTAAGACCTTTTTTATCCTTGACTTGTGCCCAAGGAATATTTGATGACAATCTGCATTAAAGAGAGAATCTTCACAACATTTCATGCTGTACGTTTCAGAGATTTGATGAACTGTTGAAAAGATCTGAATTACCTACATGAATGAGCCGGTTCTGAACTGTTCACCTAGGTGACCCGTTGTGTCCATCTCTAGTACAAATTAGAACTTAACTTAGCTAGTTCATCGTTACATTCAACATTCAATTCCAAAACAATCATTGGTTTCATGTACTAGGGGTTATTTTGCTGACATCTA